TTTGTATAGGTATTAAAGTGCTCTAACTAGGCAAGACTAAGCTAATTATTCGTCTAGCTATTAGGACTAATTTTAAGAACCTAGTTAGCAAGCAAATCCTTAAACTAGACGTTGATAAGCACCTTGCCCGCAAAGACAACAAAGGGTGGTATTTGGCAACCCAACGCGCCCACGCCTTAGATCACAGTAACCTACTCACAGTTGCCTAGCTGTACTTGTTTCTTTTTCCTATATCCTTCTAAGCCTATAATAACTAACTATAATAAAATCTTGCCTATTATAAAGCTAGTTTTGTTAAAGTTGTAGATATTATCGTCTACAATACCCTACTTCTGCTTTGTCGCCTAGACTAAGTCAAACTAGCGCTGGATAGCCACTAGATCCTCGCAGGCGGCTCGCTAGTGATCATAGGGACGGCTCTACATAGCGCGTACGGAGCTCAGGAGTCCGCTTAACAAAGTTGTTAACCTAGTTCTTGCTAACAGGGTTGCCACCACGCTCCTCTAACAGTTTATTAGCTATTGCTTGAACCTTAGCCTTTATAGGGGCAAATCCTCGCGTAGACTCTTCAAGAATACGCCTAACAATAGCCTCCTCTTCTAGCTTATTTAGGCGCTTTGAATTTGGTTTGTAGTCGCGTCAAAAGCGCTTTCTAGCGCGTCAGTCTTAGAGAGTAGTTTGAGGCACGTTATAGATAGAAGCAGCACGTCTTTAGCTTTAAACACGTTGCGATTGGACGTTAAAAAGAGCAAGTTAAAGATTAGATTTAGAATAGATTAACAAATAATTGTGTGGTTGAGACATAACGCGTTATAGTGTTAACGTCGACGCGCCGGTACAAAGTGGCCGACTCGCTTGGGTGGCCGACTCGCTTATGAACCACGTTATCTAAAAGCTATTAAAAAAGCAAAGCTTAACCACTAGGAAACCTTCCTAGAAAAGGAGACGCCAAAAGAGATATTTAAAGCTATGGCCTACACAAAAGACAACCTATCTATAAGGATACCTGCTATTAAAGGTGTCAGATAAGTGGCAGAATCCGGGTGCGGACTCGAGCACCAGGATTCTGTGATCCCAACCAGTCAGGGCTGATCGCCAAGACCTAACCCTAGGCGAGGCTGATACTTAGCGGCCTACCTAATACAAAAAGCAATAGCGATAGCTCTTATAAGGGGCGCGCCCTCGCGCCCCTACAGACGACAGAACACACAACAACTCAATACACTCAGTTTCTATACTTAAGTTTATCACAGTCTTTTATCACAGTGACCCAAAAACAGTCCTTGATCAGAAACCCCTCACAGTCTGACAAAAGGCAAGGAGACCTTTAGAGAAAAATGCCAAGCCTTTAGAGAAGATCTCTTCCCCCCACCACCATCTACTCCAGCCCCACTACTAAATACCTACAAAGGAGATAGTAGATAGGAGTGGCTAGCTTTAACAAAAGAAGAGCTCGAATTCGCCTGCGTAAGCGTAAAAGCTACCTCGCTAGGACTAGATTTAATTAGCCAGGATATAGTCTAAAAAGTCTATTAGGCACAACTAGAATTACTCTTTAAGATATATTCAGCTCTATTTAATTTTGGCTACCAACTAAAGTGCTAGAGAAAAGCTAAAGGAGTTATTCTAAAGAAACCTAGAAAGCTAGACTACTCTATCCCAAAGGCATATAGAGTTATCTCACTCTTAAGCTGCCTAAGGAAAGTACTAGAAAGACTATTTGCAAGACATTTAGGAGCACTAGCAGAAACAACAGACTTACTCCACCCTACCTAGTTAGGCGGGAGATTAAAGAAATTAGCAATTAACGCCGCTCTCCTATTCTACAATAATATACAGTAGTAGAAAAAGAAGCATAGGACTACTACAACTATATTTCTAGACATAAAAGGAGCCTTTAATCACGTGGCTAAAAACAAGCTACTAGAAAATATAAAGGATCAAGGACTTCCCTGCTGCCTGCTATCCTGGACTAAATCCTTCCTAGAAAACAGACTACTAGAGCTATCCTTTGATGGCCAAGTAGAAGACCTACAGGAGGTAAATGTAATGGGCGGGCCCAACGGGCCGAGCGTACGACTACTTACGCCATCCATAGCCAAAAAGGCAGTAACAAGACTTCAAGCTTCTTGAAGTCTAGGTAGTCGTATAGATATACTCGATCACACACACACTTTAGGCGTAGCCTCTTGTTAGACTGTGAGGTGTTTTCTAATCAAGGATAGACTTAAGTCACTGTGATGAATAGCTGCGATAATTGATGGGAGAAATTGATTGTATTGATTGTTCTGTCCTCGCCAGCGGCGCGCAGGAGCGCCGCCTTATGAGCGCTGTCGCTGCGACACCAGTGGTATCAGTTGTGTCTCATGTATCGGCCCTACCTAGGGTGGGCTTGGCGCTTGACTCTGATTGGCTAGGATCACAGAATCCTGGTGCTCGAGTCCGCACCCGGATTCTGCCGCTTATCTGACACCTCTTACAGTAAACACTAGTACGCCCTAAGGCAGCCCCGCTTCTCTAATCCTATTTTTAATCTACACAAAACCACTATTTTAGTTAATTACAACAAATAGAAATATCTACTCCTCTTCCTATATAGACGACCTACAGATATTAGTATCTACAATATCTATTAAGAAAAACGTTAAATTACTAGAAAAAGAGACCTAAAAACTCTTTAACCTAGCAGAGGAGCTAGCAATTAAATTCGACAGCTCAAAGACTAAACTAGTAAATTAGACTAGATTAAAAAAGGATAAAGATTCTCTCACACTACCCACCTAGGAGACCTTTCAACTAAAACAGCAAATTAGATGGCTAGGCATCTACTTTAACAAAGCCCTTAAGTTCAAGGATCACTGCTTTATTAGAAATTAACAGGCAAACTAAGCCTTTACTCGGCTAAGCAGACTAGCAAATAGCAATAAAGGCCTATCACCTAGAGCCTTTAGACAATTATACCTTGCCTGCATCACTAGCGTAGTAGATGTAACGGGTCGAGTCCTATTAGACTGCGCACGCAACTACAACGCGCCCACCGCGCCAAAAAGGCTGGCACAAGATCTCAGAGCTGCTGATATCGTTGCGTAGTTGATACATAAGATAGCCACCGCTATCTGTACTGTAGCGGGCTACCTAGCCCGTTACACCTACCTCATATTCTATTTAGATGTAATCTATATAGAGAGGAAAGGAAAGGACTAAGAGAAGCCTGCGAAGGCGATCTATCACTACCTATCCTCTTTTAAACAAAAGAGGGTATAGAAGCAACTATTACCTTTATTCAAGAAACAAAGGTTGGAACACAAGCCTGGTACAAAGGAAACACAGAAAACAAGGAGTAATACCTGTAACAGGTAGCCATACACCTCCTCCACCCTATCCCACCCCCTACCCACTAACTAATAGGCTACGAGCCTCACCTTTATCTAGTTAAAACCCCTCCTAAATATCGTAGCTAGAAACAACCTACTTAGATACTTGTAGGCCTAAAAACCCTACACGTCTTATATAGCCCTTCGGGCTGAAAAAGGACGTTAAACTAGAATAATAATAATAATAATAATACTATACGTCTGACTTACACGCATCAAAGTTTCCTCAAAAGTAATGTTGCTGACATGCACATGTAGCTCTCCGCTTGCATTTTTTTTTAGAAAGAAAGCAGGAATACTTATATATGGTGAAAAAAAAGGCGTACATATATTTTCCTCCACTTAGATTTCCTGGCTCCGCATTCTAGTCGCCACGGTTGCAATAAAACATCGCTTAAATGGCTGATGTGGTGGCTGCTGATATCCAGCGGATTGGATACACCCGCTCTCACGGAACCGGAAGAGTCGGAACAAGAGAAAAGCAGAAATGCCGACTGAGCCGTTTCAGCGGGTGTGCGCGTGCTGGTAAGTTGTTCTCTATCTTCGGCTTTCCCAGTTCCGTGAGAGACCCGTTACCGTTGCGTGATAGCGCGGCTTGTGCTTTGGGCGCCGTAGGATACAGGCTCGGATCACATTGAAAGCGTGCGTGAGTCATAGTTGGATGAAGCGTGGGCATGAAGCATGGATGGCGGTGTGCATGGGAAGGGTAATCTGTAAAGCATGGAGCTGGTGTTAGATAGCAGCGGGTGAAGGGAAATTGGATAGACGGAATGGATAAAAGGGTATTGAGCGTAAGGAGATTAGAAGTGTTTATTTTACTAGAATGCACTAGCTGAAACTACATTGCTTGCATAACTTGCATAACTCCCGTGATACATGGCGTTGCAAGTATGCACAATGTACAAGACAGTCTAAGTCAGCTATTATACCCAGCTATCAATGAGCTATAATACCAAGGTCTCTCCGGAAAATCATAGCATCTCATAACAGACTCCTTTTTTTTCTAGGAGTGTGGCTGTTTGAATACGATATTACATTCATTACATTCTTATGTAACAAGCGCTATAATCTCACGAACCATTTTTACCAGAACCTTGTTGGAGCTATAACATTATGCGCTTCCACATTCAGGGAATTATGGTAAATGATAACATTGCTTATATAATATTGCTTGTGACTTTTGATATTGACTCCAGGTAAATCGTCGCTTTCCAGCCTACCGTGGGGGATGCAACATGTTACTAGACTAGGTGGCACCAAGGGGTGCTATCTCAGATGAGTTCACAGGAGAGAATGAGAGAAAAGTGAACGAGAGCGGGAGACATGACACGCTCTGTCACAAGGAGGGGCTAAACAACACATCCACCATGAATCAGATTCACTGCATTCTAGCGCTTACTTGTCATAGCTTCGTCTTCGGTACCCCTGCTCCAGGGCGAGCTGTTACAACGAGGCAGCTCTTGCAGAGTGTTTGATATATAACGGGCCGCAGTGTCATGATTATAGAGTCCAGAAACAGTCCACTCCGCTTTCTCAGTACAAGATCTACTCTACACCCAACAGTTTCACCCGCTACCCACTCCTTTCCATACCGATCCGTTTATACCTAACAACACCACTACCACAATGAAGCTAACATCCGTTCTCGGCCTTTCCGTCTGCGCCCTGGCGTACGCAGTTCCCATCGAAAAACGCGCTGCCGACATCGAACTGCCTGCAAAGCGTGACGACTCGACACCGGTGCCACCCGGGGGTGAAACAGTTACTTTTACGCCCTCTAACGATGGCCCGCTCGTTGACATCGCTGGCTTAGGACCGGAGAGGGAGAACCCTGACATGATCGCTGAATTTTCTGGTACCGATCTGCCTGCAAAGCGTGACGACTCGACACCGGTGCCACCTGGGGGTGAAATAGTTACTTTTACGCCCTCTGACGATGGCCCGCTCGTTGACATCGCTGGCTTAGGACCGGAGAGGGAGAACCCTGACATGATCGCTGAATTTTCTGGTACCGATCTGCCTGCAAAGCGTGACGACTCGACACCGGTGCCACCTGGTGGTAAAACAGTTACTTTTACGCCCTCGGGCAATAGTCCTGTTGTTGAACTCACCGGCCTGGGACCACAGAAAGAGCAACCTGGCATTTTCGCTGGGGTTCCCGGCACCGATCTGCCTGTCCAAACGAAGCCGGACGGTGTTGACGTGCTCGCTTATGACGAGCCTTCCCACTAGGTGCGTGGCAAATGCTTTTCCAAATCTTGTTTATTCGTCTAGCTAAGTATGATAGATGGTTGAATGCCTTGTTTGGTAGGAATGTGATCTCACATTAGACGCGGGACGACATTCGTGTGTCTTGATGTTGCACTGCGTGAATGTTCGGTTTGTGACATGTTGAAATTGATCATCTTGGGTCCGATCACAAAATGTAAATACATAAAACCGGCATCGTGCCATCAATCCTATCTGCAGACTGGACATGTCTAACTTAGATTTGTGATGCCTCTGCGTCCTGCCAATAGTATACCAATATAAACGCCCGAGACACTAAGAAGTGTCTGTAGCCTTCCGAATACATTCGTTCTTACAATATCATCTGTTGACCATCTCAATTCTCCACATCTAGACACTATCCAGTGCCTGTTGAAGCCCCTCCTGGTTGCGACTCAGACTGTGGGGGCGCTGTTTCCGCAACCTCGTCGAAAATGTCGTCTTCAAGCTCTGCATCCGTCCCAACCACCCGCAGTATCCTCCATGCCCGGCGGAACTCATCTCGGATGGCGACTATGCCGCGGTGGTTCACCGTTCTTGCGACGTTGTGATCAGTCTCAAAAGGATCTTCTATAGCGAAGAGATAGCGATTCGTCACCTTTTTGTCGGCCGTAATCTTCGTTGTTGCGCTGATCCACCCCTTGCTCTGCTTCGAAACTATGCCACCTGGCCTGCGCAGCGACACAACGTCGTTGACCCAGTGGAACTGGGGAGGTCTCGGGTAGGTTCCACCAGACAAAGCGGCATAGTACTGGAAAAATCCGCGTAGCAACGCACCAACTGTTTCCTTATTCTTCGTCAGACGGCCTTCCTTTGCAGCTTGCGTGATTTCCTGCTCGTTGCGCCAGAAACGGACCGCGTAGCCATCGACCATTGTGTCCTTGCAATATTGTTCCAGAGTGTCTCTATCGGTGGGCAAGGGTACGGCATGTTGAAGATTTGGGCATACTGGTGGCGTTGCGATGTTGACAAGGTAGTGCAGTACCATAAGCACCCATCCATACGATGAAAGGGTACCAGAATAGGCACTGTTGATTTTGCGGCGTTTAGCCCAGGCCTTGACAAAGAGAACCATAGGTCGTACGCGGGGATCAGTCAAAGAGTAGCAACGGAGCATCTGCGTATTGTGAATGCCAAGCGGGTTTCCGAAGTTAATGTCGCATTGGATACCGCAGCCGGTCTTGGGAAAGTCCAGAGGGCCGGATGCTCTTTCTCGCATCCAACGCTTGTCGGAGCGAGGCTGCTGAGATTTCTTAGAATCAGCTCCGTCACTGGAAGCCTCATCTGGTTTCGCAGCTACCAAGGAAGATGGGATCTTGGGAGACCCCGTCTTCGCTGAATCTTTTTGCTGGCTGTCATCTGCTAGGCCTGAGGGGTACTTCTCTTCTTCAGGCAGTTGATCCCATTTCTGTCGTTCCTCGCAGAGAGCCCGGTATAGGGTCTCTGTCGGATGCTGACAGATCTTCAAAATCGGTACACGAGTCCGTGTGAGGAGTCGACCACCAAACCTGGCATCAAGCGCTGCTCGCTCTAATATACGAGGGATACAACGATCAATGGTATTGTCATTGGCTTTTGAGGGATCCTTCCAGTTTGGTACCACTGCGAGATCCATATCTGAGCCAGCCATCCCAAAGCCCGAGGCTGAACTACCAAAACCAACCAAAGAGATGCTTGCAATGTCTCCGGAGTACTCTCTGCTGAGTGCTTCATTCATGATCATTTGCAATTTCCGCTTGAACGACTCCTTGGAACTCAATTCGGGCATGGACATGTAAATATCGGGGAGCTCTTCTGCCACAATCTCGTCCAGAAGTTCGATTTGGGCCTGGATGTTCTCAGGATAATGGTTCATAGGTAGGCGTTGCTGTGGTTGTTGTGAATTCGGGTTCCATTGCTGATGAGGTGATCTAAATGGCTTTGACACATGCGATTGGCTGTTTGGATGCAGGCCATTCTGCGACTGATGCCGTTGGCCTGGATGATGGCCTCGTCCACCTCCCCTGGGTGAGGATGCGTACCCTGAGGTGAGTGCGCGCCACTCGTCTTCTTGATCCTGATCTCGAAATGGGGCAAAGTGATTATGGTAGTTACCATCTGCGCCGCTGGAGAAGCTCCCGCGCCCCCGCCCGCGACCCCGCCCTCGGCCTCGTCCTCGACCACGATGTGTAGACGGGATATCTTGATTGGCGTTTTCAGCAGCCATACTCACATTGCCAAGTATCATGTTGCGTAACTGGGCCTCCAGTCCAACGGACTGTGACGCATTCCCCTGATCCATTTTGCTGAGTTAGCGCGGACGTTGTACGATACCAAAGAAACGACGTAGTCGCTCTTCGAGCCTGTGCTGGCCACGACAGGTTTTTTTTTCGGTTCAAAGCTCGGGAGTTCCTCGAGATGTGGTCTAAAAGGAATGATGGTGTTCTTGTGAAGGTTTAAGAGCAACGCAATATATAACAGACTGGCGCCCGCTTGTGAATTTTTGACGACAGCTTGGAATTACGTTCCAGGGGAAACTCTCGTGACAGCTGTGCCCTGGTTACGTGGGTGCCTAGAGCCAATAGGATATTTGGCGTTTTTCTTGCGCGAGTTTCTATAGGCTGAGGGAAAGATGGTTCGGGATATGCCTCTGTTGGTCGAAGCGCGCGCAAATTGTTCGGCGCGATTGATGGTGAGGGTGAAGGTATCATGTGTTGGGGACGGCGGCAGGGCAGGGCAGGGCAGGGGAGGGCCTCAGTGAGCGATGCTGGGCTTGGCGCGCTAAGGCGACTAGCGTGGAGCTGTGACGTTCCAACTGCGGTTCGGCCTTGAACCACGATGCTCCTTGGGACAAAGGCAACTTCGTCTCCAGCCCGTCCTTATCTGCCCACTTGCTGCCGCCATTCTTGTCTTCATCCTAACCGCCACATCTGATAATGAACGGCAACATGAATGGGAGCCAGCCACCTGCGGCGCCCGCAGCGCCCGTCGCCCCCAATGGCCCGCAGCCACAGGCACCACCGCAGCAGATGCCCGTCCGTCGCCGCCGCCCGCGCCCCCAGGCCGATGTCCTGCGCAAACCCCGTCGCCCATTGCAGAATATAACAAAGCCCATGGTGTCTTTGTCGCAGATGAACGAGGCAAAGAAGCCCCCGGCCGGGCCGGACCTCGATGGTACGCGGTCCAAGGACGCGCTGCGACAGGAGTATCTCGACCAGGGCGCCAGCGTCTTCCCGCTCATCGTGAGCCGCAAGGACCTGAAAGAGCTGCGACACCACGTTATGCGCCTGCAGAGCAAGAGTCATGTCGATATCACGGATGAGAAGCAGTTCACTCCGCCCATCAAGCTCCACCGCAGAGATCCTCGCGCGCCTCCCAGCGGCATTGGATCCCACTATGAAGAAGAAGACACAAAGGAAGACCTGGAGGAAATCAAGGAGCGTGAGCGCATCGAGCAGCAAAAGGAAGAGCGCCGCAAGGTGCGCGAGGAGAACCAGGCCAAGATAGCGCCTACTGGCTTGAAGAAGCCTCCTGCCTTCCAAAAGAAAACGGAGCAGAAGTACCGGCCCGACGATACCCCCGAAGCAAAGAAGCGCCAGCTGCTGCGTTACGAAGAGACACTGCCTTGGCATTTGGAAGACTACGAGAACAAGCAGACATGGGTAGGCACCTACGAGTCGGAGCTCTCAGAGACGCACGTCATGCTCTCAGCTACGCGACCTGGCGATCCGAGCACTGCCATACAAATGGCACCCATGGAGCGCTGGTACAGATTCAATGTCAAGGGCAAGATCAAGGCAGGCAGCGACGATGTGGACAAGATTTTGGCCAAGGTCGAGAGCGGCGGACCCAGGTTCTTTGCCGAGCTTGAGAAGCGACAAGCGCAGCGCGTCAAGGAAGAGGATGCAGCAAGGCAGTTCAGCGGAGTGCGCACGCGAGTGGGCGGTGGTGCAGACGACGAGGGCCGGATCAAGCGAGAGCGTTTTGATGACGATACAATTGGGTTCGTCAAGCGCGAAGCGGATGCCGACGACATCGATTTCAACCTTGAGGAAGACTTTGCTGACGACGAAGAAGGCCTCAATGGTCTTTTCGAGGGTGAGGAGCAAGACGTCAAGGAGGCGGCGGAGAAGCTGAAGCGCGACCAATTGCAAGCTGCCCTTTGGGATCGGCCCGACGAGCAACTGATAGCGCAAAAGGAGGAAGAGGAGCGTAGGATCGCAGAGGAAACGAGAGCTATGGAGAAGATCACGCGAAAGACGCTAGCCAAGCGCGAGAAGCAATATGACTATCTCGATAGCGACCCTGAGAATCCCTACCTCACTGAGAGCGAATCAGACACCGACTCGGAGACGGAGCGACAGCAAGCAAAAGAAGAGGCAGAGAAGAAAGCCGCCGAGCAGAATGGCAAAGCCCCGGAAGCTGGCAATGCCCCGTCTGGTGCATCCACAAAGGGCTCCAACACCCCTTCGGGCAACAAGCCCGGAGAATCCAAGGCCAAGAAGCGGCCTGGCTCACCCAACCTTTCAGAAGCTAGTGGTAACGAATCGTCGCGTAAGAAGCACAAGAAGAAGCACCACGATAAGATGGCCGACGGATCTCGGAAATCCACTCTTGGAAATCTCAAGGGCGCAGGTTCTGGTAGTGACAGCGAGATGACTGACGCCGGCAAGAAGCGCAAGAAGGAAAAGAAAGAGAAGAACCGCATCTTGCTTGGTGGATCGCCTGCTGGCACACCCGGCGCTAGTCGCGCTGGGAGTCCTGCTGCAAACGGCAGCCGTGCTGGCAGCCCGTCCGCAGGCCCGTCCAGGCCTCCGCTACCCTCTGCAAGAGAGATTTACGAATCTCTGCCACCTCAAGGCATGAATATCCAGAACCTCATTGTGAAGTTCAAGGGTCGTGTTGACAAGTCCAATACACAACTGTTTATCAAGCTTGTCAAGGCTGTCTCGAGCTTTGACAAAGCAAAGAGTTGGCTCACGCCGCTGGAAAAGATGCCCACTGAAGAACATATTAGCGCGTTTATGAACGCGGGGAATGCGCCAAAGCCCACGTAGGGAAGCTTGCACTATGGTCATGATGCACAAGGGAAATTTTTAAGTTTGTAAGATAATTAGAATGCGCACTAGACGAAGGAATTGGCGAGCTCGCAGACTGGAGTACTTGGAAAGAGCACATATGAATATCCAACGTTTGAAAAATACTTGTCTCAGATATGCTATCTGGATGTGTCTTTGCTCGCCAATTGAATTTCTTCGTCCTTGGCCCCGATTTCTTGCCCCAATGGACTTGCTCTTCCTTCTTCCGCAGCAATCTCGTTCAGCACCTTCTCATTCGTACCTTCCTGTCTCTCCACTTGTTCCCTTGGTCCATGCATAGGCTTGTCCTTCGTCTTCCCATCGGCACTATCCTTATCCTTCTTCCTCATGCTCCATCCGCCACTCCAGCCCACCCAGCCATCTTCCCAGGGACCTTTAGCTATCATCACACAAATGGCGCAGCTCACAAACCCCACACTCACACTTCCACTACCAATCCAACCTGTTGCGGCATAAACATGGTTGCCCGCCGCGGTACCAATCAGCTGCCCACAAAATGTCGCCACCATGAAAGCGGTGTTAACGCCATTTCGGCGCTTGGGCTCTACACTGTAAATCGCAGAGCGATTCGCAATCTGCGCCGTCTGGTTGCCAAAGTCCATAAGCAGCGCCTGGAGTACGGGGCCCGCAACGGTAATCGTTCCAATGTAGGTGCCCAAGCACACGCCAATGAGCGAGCATGACAAGCCCGCAAAGACGGAAAAGTGCGGGACAAAGCGGTCGGTGACGGTGCGGGCGTAGATGGGCGATATCAACATGCCGGCTATACCGATAAGCCCAAACAACCCAATTGTAAGCGACGAGTACCCGTACGGCGGGCCAGCGAGCAGAAAGGTAAGTGTAGTCCAGAACGAGGTAAATGGTGCGCTAGTCAGTAAGCCGGCGAGACAAGCTTGGACGAGCACGGGGTGCCGGCCAAGCATCTTGACGATGTCGAAGAGCGTCCGGAAATAATTCATGCCCGTGTTGGTGGCTGGGTAATCTGGCATGAAGAGCCAGAGTAACACGAAGATTGTGTATTGCAGCGCGAGCGCCATCCAGTAGACTGCGCGCCATGACGTGTAGTTGGAAATGGTACCAGATAGGACGCGCGCGACGAGCACGCCTAACATTAGGCCTGATACGACGATCGAGAGGGCTGCCGCACGGCGCGATGGCGGCGCGAGATCCCCAACAAGAGGGAGCATGAGTTGAGGGGTTACAGTTGTAATGGCTACGATGAAGGATACTGCTGTGAAGGTCCCGAGATCGCTTGTGAGGCATAATACTATCCTAGATATTCCCTTCGTTAGCACATATATGCATATTTCTTGCACACGCACTGCCTGACATTTGTCGTGCTTCAAGATGAGGAGCGCAAAAAGAAAGCAGAAAAAAGTACGTACCACAACGTTGCTGTGAACGCTACCAATCCACAGACAAACGGTCGCCTAGGCAGCAGATCGCCCAACGGACACAAGAACAACAGACCGGCTGCATATCCGGCCTGCATGACAGTCGGGATCTGTGACACCTGCTCATAGCGGACGTTGAAGTCTTTGGCGAGAAGGTTGAGGATAGGATGGTTGTAGTAGAGATTTGCGACTGTGAAGCCAGCGGCAAAGGCAAAGAGGACGTTCACTGCGTAGTTGTTAGATGACGAACAACAGTCATTTTCGCGTCTTTCTTCAACCTAGCAAAAAAAAGGAAAAAAAGACCATTTCTCGGAAAAACAAGGATTACGTAGACGCGACGTACTACTCATGGAAAACTGGGGTGGCTTATCCGGGTCCCAACGGCAGTTTGGCGGTGTCCAGGTAAGGATTTGCCAGATTCTTCTCCAACGTGATATTTTGCGTTTGCCATCGTCATCTTCATAGGCGTCTTGTTCTGATCCGCTCGCTACACCAAGGCCAGACGTTGAACTCGATGTGGTGGTAGTTGTAGGATCAGCGCCATGCTTATTGGTCGATGACGCCGTTTCGCTCGCCCCGCACTGCTGTTGTTGCTCTCTTGGCGGCTCACCCGTTGAGCTCGTGTTCGTGCCCATAGTCACTGTCGGTCCTTTTTTTTCTTTGCTTAGCAGATGCTGATCCAATCAGAGAGAGTAACGAAGGCGATAGTAGACTGGGGGAAAAAAGAACGCGGAGAATGTTAAAAGAAATCTCGGGATAAAGCGACGGGCTAAATGAAAGGGAAACAGCAATTACTAAGGCATCGGCATGTATAGTCGGTGACGGGATGCTCGGGTCTCGCGCTATTCGGGAATGGACTCGTATCTGAGGAGCCGAGACTGTGAGGAGCGTCACGACAATGACCGGTATCGCCGCCAATCAGATGGGGTACGCTAATGTGCGTGTGGATACTGTGTAGATGCAGACGTGATGGGCGAGAACATGGCTGCCCCGGTGGTATTCTACATCTTCTGTCGTAGTCTGCCTAGATGATGTCAACGATTTTCTCGTCTTCATCTTCTTCCTCATTCCCCATTGCAATCATTTTCCCACTACCGCCAGCATTCGCCATGTCTGGTATTTCCTCCTCTTCGCCCTCCTCTTTGCGCATGATGATCTGCACCACACGGTCGCATGCTTCTCGCACTCCCTCGTCTTCGACGTGCAAGTGACATTCCCTGACAATGGGGTATACCTTGACCCGCCTCAAGACTTCCCTGCTTTCTTTGGTAGTACTCAGTAGTAGCAGCGTCTCTAGGTGTGTCTTTATGATCTCAAAATCCTGTTCGCGCTCCTTGTCGGGCTCGAGGAGCTGTAATTCGTCAAGCATGCCCTCTGTATCCTCATCTGCATATTCTTCTGGACCCATGAGTGGGAGAAGGATGTAGGGTAGGAGATTCGCGCCTATTGAAGGCGGTGGGAGATTGGGGTCGGAGGGTAGATTCGAGAGTAGGACCGGGTGCGCTGGGACGTGGAATGCGACATTCTTGATTGTCGAAGCTACACCGAGACGTCGAATGTGTGATGCGTGATCGGTAAAAACTTGGATCTTGGTAATGGGGATAACGTTGTCGTCGTGCTCTTGGGGTGTGGTGAGGTACTCGCGCCCTCTGGGAAACTTGGCCAGGTCGGCAAAGAAGTACGAGAGGTAGTCGAAGTCTGCGTTCTTGTTGTATGCGCCTTGTGCGCCCTTGACAAAGCAGTCCATGAGCTGGTCCATTGCCCATGCAGACTTGGAAAGCTCCTTTGGGATATCGCGCTTCAGTTCCAGCACCCGTTGCAAGGAGTCATCCTTGGCCATGTTGGCAAGTAGCATTGCAATTTCATTGGCATTTGGCTCTTTGGGGTTCTACCACAGGTCAGTGGCTGGTATTCATAGCCCATGACTGAAGAACTGACATACGGTTATCCGCGATAACAGTGTCTCGAGAAAGTCATTGTCCCTTGCAAGCGTGTTCTGGACCTCTGCGTCTGCCGAGACGTTGATGAGGATAGTTAGGGCATTCTTTGCAATGGGCGCATAGTCTTTGACCAGCAGCTTAAGGTCCTTGATGGGCTCTAGCTGATTGCGCTTCCAAAGGGCGGGGTTGTTTTGCGAGTATCCGACAAGATGTTCGGCCGCTGCATAGTGTGAGCGGCGTGTGAGGGCGGGATGGAGGGGCTGCTCTGACCAGTCTGTCTGATCTGCGTGTTGCCATGGTGCAGGAACTCGACAAGCTAGACCAGGACTGTCAGCATTAACATTGCTATATTCGCAAGCCCGAACCAGTGTTGCTCACCTCTTCTAATTCTGACGGCATCGTGACTGTGGCTGTGGCTTTTCTTTGCTGTCGTGAGCGATGACGAAGGCCCAACTTTTTTTCGCTTGCACGTTAAGGTTATCGATAAGGCCAAGCGTCCTGCTGCCTGCTGCCTGCTCCGCCCTCCACCTTCCGCCCTCGCCGCTGGCCTGACGCCCGATATCCTCACTTACTCATACACTTCATATTGCCCGACCTATTACTGACCAGAGAAGATCAGAGATGGCCGGACTTTCATCGGACCTGGAGATTAAATGTCTTGGATGATCGCAGCTGCAAACCGCCCAATCCGTTTGTCGACGGCAATGTGCAAAGGCCGCCACCATTGCCCGGAAGCCAAGCGCTGCGTGCGCTGAGTGGCCGACTCCGCCATTTGGCTTTCACTGGTCTTGGAATACACCCAGTTACCGTCTGCGGGCTTTCGCGACAAGCTCTGGCGCTGTGTCTTGGCTCAATGTGCCCGCGTGCTAGGGGCGGTTACGTGCTCTTTGATGATGCACAGGCCTCGCCCGCCTTCCCCCCGCAATGAAGGCTTCCCACAGTCCCCAGTACTACGTGCACATGTATATACATGCAGCTCGCGTTGAGGATCTGCATGCGGGTCTGCTTGTGCCGGGCAACTTTCCTCGAGACTCTGACGCATCCAAAAAGTAAACAGGACAGCACGCATGGCCCTCCGCATGCGGCAGAGGACAGCCAAAATGCCGTTGCGAGGCACTCTGAGGGCTCGAAATAGATGCCCCCGACTTGCAGCGGGCCGCCGGACTGGCTACTCGTCACCTGCATTATGCCACCCACACGCAGGGCGGGCACACAGCAACAACCAATCATGGCGGCATGCACCTATCGTAAGATCTCAAGCTAATGTGGTAGGGGTCGTAGCGAGCAGGAAGTGTTGGCGCTTAGCAGCAACAATCAGCCAACCACCCAAAATATAACCGCCGCTCATCAACTGACAAGTAGCGCCGAGCCTTAGACACGTCTTGATTGGGCCCGCCTGACAACCACCTCGCTGCATGGGGTGGCTTTCTGCATGGGAATTGACCGTCTACCGCTATTGCCCTTGATGCGTCCACACAGCTGTTCTGCGGGCTCCATGGGCGCTGCACCATGTCTTGTCTTATAGTCGTTGGCCCCAGATTACCCGAGGCGTCTGCTCGTACTCCGGCCGTTACTGTGTTTTGTTCATTCTCGCTACACAGCTAACATCTGTTTCGTTCTGTCCCGTTGGCTATTTCGGGCAGTTTTGCTTTGTTAAAAAGTAGAGTGCTGGACATTCACCATGGCAGGACCAGTACTACAACTCTTCCCCCCGCCTCGTGCTCCACGACAGCCAAGCCCAAACAACAGGCCACCTCCTCTTGCAAAGACCTGGTCTGGAGAACCCTCAGCAACAGATAGTGCAAAAACTACCAAGCCTGCAGGTGACTTGCACGAGCTCCTCGTACACGTCAACTCGGTGCCAGCATCTCCCTTCGACCCAATGGCGCCTCAACCAGCCGTCGCGGCTCCACCCCAGGCACATCTACCCAACTCCCAAGCCGCGAGAGCCCCTTCACCACAGTTGGACCGTCAAGAAAGTTTCTATCGTCAACCAGACACCCGTACCGTTTCACCAATACCCTTAGCACAGAACGACCACAGTAACGACCACCAAGGCATAACCAGCCCAGACCCAAATCGTGCAGTCTCTCCTGCATTCTCCGAAGCCCAGACTCTAGTACGAGCGAATAGCTCCGCTACAAGAGCACAAAGCGCGTCGCCGCTAGAAGAGATACCGATGCGATCAATGTTCCCAGTCTACGACCCCACCGTCCCTCTTGCGCGGCAACCGTACCAGCCCACGCAACCATCTCCATCCCAGATCCCGCGGACACAAATCAGCCGGTCCCCATACTCGTCTGAGACTTATATCCCACACGGCAATGTTCGCACAAGTAACTTGGCACCTCTTCCACCACCTAAGCCTTTCCTCACTCCATCCAATCTCCTGGACAATATGTGGTTAGCAACGAATGGTCAAGAGGAGCCCAGCGTACAGATTTACACCTTGAGAATGCATCGAGCAACAGCGGCAAATCCTACCATCACGTTTGGGACAACCCCATCTCTCCCCTTTTATTCCATTGCACAGTCCAACCTGGCTGGCAACCACGAGATACCTAGTATTATGACTGAGCTCCTGATTCAGAGACATCACCCTACACAGCCGCGAGTTCTACCTATCGCTCAGCTTGACCTGATCGCACCCCCCTCACTTGACAGTGGACTGTTCAACCCCGCCCAACAAGATGAGTCAGTTTTCATCACGAGCATATACCCCAAGCTTGCTGCTCTTCAAGCACTTGATGCTGCAGCCAACTCCCCCTCCGCTTCTCACCTTGCTTTGGCTGACCCTGGTGCCCAATCTCCCGCCGCTCAACAACTGGCAGAGAGTGTCCTAGCGAACAGTGCCCAGCGTGAATGCTGTGCTCTTGCGTGGACAAAGGACAACCCGCAACAACAGGCGAATCCTTGGGCCCAGCATATGCCGTCAGAGGGTTCTTATCAACTACACCACCCCATGCTTGGTAATTTCCCCATATCCATCGAAGGCGATTGCTCCGTCATCAACACACCTTCTACGAGGCCTATAACGGCCTTTTACGGACACAACATGCCAACGACCCCACAAAACACAAAAAAGCCAGCCTATATCACAGTCCTGAACCCATATGTTCTATCCCCAACAACGCCACGCACCAACGCATTCTCACCGTTACCGCCTCCACCGCGGCTCGATGGCATAAATCGTCCAACTTCCATGACACCGTCCGAGATGTCCGTGGGGCAGCTTCCTACAACCACCGATGCCACAGCAGACGACGCTATGCTGGCACGTCTGGACTTCACCAACGATGCTCTCATTCTAAACTTTGGGGCACTGACACGTTTCGGAAACCCGTTTCTTGTCGACGTTGTGACTTCGGCGCTGCTCGCAGTCGCAGTCGCAGAATCGACGCGCGGTCGCAAATCTCGAAATAGAAGCCAGGATAATTTCGAGCCACCACCGCCCAGCTTCACGCTCACTCACCAAAAGGAAGACACAGCGAAAGCGTTCAAAGATTCCTTCGTCGAGGGCTTCCAGGGCATCGGCGGAGGCAAAACGAAATCTCCGCTTTCCAGCAAAGGACTCAAAAAGTTTACTTCTAGCTTGAAGAGTACAACAACATCGCGAAGCGAGAGCGCAAATGGAAGTTTCGACAAGGACATTGAGCTTGGGGAGTGGTATGGACAGGACAAGCACACAAAAGCCAAAGAAACAAAAGCCGAAAAGAAAGCAAAGAAATCTAAAAATTCAAAGCATTCTGAAAGTAAGCTGCCATTTGCAGCAAGGGCTGTCATCGCTGTCTTGACCTTTGCGTTCAAGACGGTGGTCTTCGTGCTCAAGATTTCAATCAAGGTTGTTGCGGGCGTGGTAGTTATGATTACGAGGAATTTTGGCAAGTTGTAAATGCGACGGGGCATGAGAATGGGCGGCCTTCATTTCTGTTGCTGGTGTATGGCGGGGTCTTGCCTTTTGGACATATTTCGCATGATACCATTCTGTTCATTCGCTATTTAATTTTTTTTTGTTTCGGATACCACCATTTTTCCAACCGGCGCTACTACTATAGCCAGGAAACTTAATTTCAATACTGGAGTATGTATGCCTACAATGTTTAACGCTTTCAGGATTCATCCACCTGTTTTACCGTGTTCTTCATATAGCCTTTTGCCGGTCGGTGCATGCAGTTGTGAGAAACAACTGGTCACGTCTGTATATCAGCATGAGACTCTAAATTTACAAAATAAAAAGCGTAGATTAAGATTAGTCAAGTATGTCATTGGCTACATGAAAAGGACAGAAGTCAGATGTATAAGCCTTCTCAACTCAAACCCAAATACCCAGAATCAAACATATCGAGTACCACACAATTTTCCGCACCGCTGCTACTTACCCCCATCCCCCCAACAAAGACTCGCTAGGTTTCAAAAGAAAGAAAAAAAAAGACAACAACAATCTTGTAACGCCAAATCGCCAACTCTGTGCACAACCTCCGCACTTCTCACTCATCCTGCTCCCGAGGCAGTATCACGGGCTTGAACTCAGCACTCATCTTCTAATCACGGCCCTCGTTGCTATGAATCGTTGCATTCAACACATGAGCCAACGCCTCGGTGGCATTAGCCAACTTGGCAGGCGCCGTCTGATCCACGATGTGCCTCGCCTCGACGCCCGGCTCAGCCATAAAAGTGTCCTGATTGGCCTTGAGGACGTGCGCTGTGAAAGTCTCCATGATGGCTTTTTTGAACGCGTGGATTTGTTTGGTGTCAATATGGGTACCGGCTTGGCTCGGCATCATGGCTGAGTATTTGGCTTCGGCTTCGTCGAGGATATACGACATGTAGGCTTCAGGGGAGAAGCCGTTGTGGCGCTTGTGGTGGCGGTGCAGTTTGTTTAACATTTCCAGTTCTTCCATGTTGAAGGCGTCGTCGTTTTCGCCGTTGTCGTTGTCGATGTTGATCTTGAAGTTGTCGTTGTTGGCGGCGTCGTTGTAGTCGTTGGCGTCGGCGCCTGCATACCAGAAGTCCTCGTTGGGGCCGTGACTATCGCTATCTTCGAGGTCGGTGGCCATCCCTTTCACCATGGCGTGGAGAGGGGAGGTCTGCTCGTAGGGCTTGATAATTTTGCTGAGCACGCGAAGAGACCACTCGATTCGCTGGGGGTAGAACAGCCACGCGATGGGGTCTAGAGCCTGGTCTTTGGGCAGCAGCCCTGACAGTTCTCGGATTACAACGCGGATACGCTTGGTCCCGCAGTACGAAACTGCGCCTGTGCCGCGGCAGTTGATGTGAGGTAGAACGTGTATGAGCCTGCCATCTGGGAGCCTTGAGCCATCTGGAAAGGTCCGCCCATCTGAAAAGTTCGGCGGGGCGGGAGAGCGCGGCTGGGGTGCGTTCGTGGGTGGACAGACTCTGTGGTCAATTTTTCTTGTTCCTGCGATGTTGGTGAAAAGAGGCTTGTCGGGTCTGAAGCGTGTGGGACCGGGGCGGGGGCGTTCGAAGCTTGGGATGTCTTTTGGATTGGGGATGTTGATGGCTGTGCTGTGGACGGGAGTGCTGAAGAGACTGGCGCCTAGGGCTATGGCGCCAATGCTGATGGCGTCGAAGAAACGCATGGTATTTGGGGATTTAAACTAGGCTTGGGGTTTGCGAAGTACGGAATGTGGTAGATGTGCCAACTGTTGTTTCGCTCGAGGTTGGGTGGATGTGCTTTGGGCAAGAAAGAAGGGCAAGGACACGACACCCTTTTATACTCAGTGTGGGTACAATAACAGCTTGAGGTAAAATGGGGGTTCGAAAAAAAAAATGCAAAAATTCGATTTGGAAAGAATGAGCTTGTATACCACAAAGTGGTCGTCCCTTAGCAACTGAAGAAGTAAGAATTATATTACTATCGGATGTTGAGAGTGTTCTCGATGTGCAAAGCTGATATTCGTGCGACGCCATTGGAGCTCTTTAAAGAGAAACCAAGGCACAGTATTAGACCCCTGGGTTCTGGTCCACGGTTGCTTCAGTTGCGAAAATCATGTGCCTCGGGTGATGTGATACAAAAGAAAACCCAGACGTGGAAGCGAACCATGGCTTAGACGTACACCTGAGTATCATATACCATAATGTACTCATCGTTCTCGGTCTGGCCTACCAGATTCTCCAGGATGTCATCAGCGTCGCGGACAATGAAACTGACATGTCCTTCTCCCGGTTTGAGTCGGAGCGCACAGCCTGGCAAGAGGTGTTCTGCCTGATGCGCCATGGAGACTCGAGAAATTCTATCTTCCTCGCCATGCCATAGCGTGAGCGGCACGCCGCTTTGCCCAACATGTACATGTGTAAGATCGAAGCCCCAGTCACTACCGCTCAGCTTCGCGTCCCAGCCTACACCCTCAGCACCATGATGAAACGACTCCTTGGTCATTGCTACAAAGGTCGGCCAAACGGTGGGACATTTAATAGCCTCTTGATCACCAGGGTGCCAGTGCTCCACCTCTTTGGACAGGATATCTTCGAAAACCCTGGGGTCCTGGTCCCGACTCGGCTTGCCCATCTTCTTATCAAATAGCGCAGCCGTAAGGTTCGTCATCAGCGGTGCTATCCACAGGACGATGCGCGAGGGTAGCATCATGCCCGCCGTGCCCAGCTTGATTGGATACTGGCCACTGACTATGGTTGCGCCCAACAGCCTCTCTTTTGCAATCTCTTTTACGCACGCCAGCGCATACGGCGCGCCTTCTGAAACACCCAGGATGTAGAACTGGTGTATTTTGAGGTGTTTGGTCAGGGCGACTATGTCGGCCGGAAAGTCGAGAATGCGCCGGTTATGTTGGAAAGTGGAGAGGCCGTTGCCTGGCCTATCAGGCGCAATGAGCCTGACATTGTGCGTTGCGCAGCTCGAATGCCACAGCTTGCCTTCGAAGCGCGACGATGGGTAGCCATGGAAATAGATGATGGTTTTCGGCGGGACGGGGCTGCCATAGACTGCGTAGGAGAGCTTGCGCCCGTCTTCCAGCTTGAAGCACTCGTTTTCTTGCTGCATCGTGGCCGTCGCACAGTCGAGGCGTGCAGAGCTCACCTAGATATTATCTTGGAGCCCAACGCGGGCTTGACGGGTAATGGAGGGGTGCTTCGGGCGACATTGCCTTGTGCTGGACTGCCAGCTGACGCATGGTGAGAGGCGTCTGCTTTGAGTGATTTCCATCGATCGACGATAGGCTGTGTTGGACAGAGCGGGGAAGAATATCACTTGGTAGACTGCCAAGCACAGGAGCGCTACGGCTCTCGCGGGAAAGATCTCCACTCATCCTGCTAACTAGTTCTTACTTCACATGCCTTCTTTGGAGACACGGCGTCGCCACTGCTCACGTTGCGTGATCTTTGCATGGATCTCAGCTTGCCTGGACATCGAGTATAGCCGCCATACTACACCCTACGGCATCCAAGCCATCTTTATTCGCAAAACCCGAAAGTAGCCACCCAGGACTTGGAAATCGCGCAGCTCATTTGTCAGCGCTTACCGCCTCAATCAAGGCAGTACTAGCACCGGTTCTCTCCGCGTTGCTTTTTATATAGGATACCAGCCTGCTTGCATATTTTGTACTGCTCTAGGAAGATGTTCCGCGACGTCGCTAGCATATCTTGCAGATCTTCAACGTCATCCGAGGGCTTGATACAGCCTTGGAATCGGACTTGGCAGAGGCTATCAGAGATGAAACTTGACACGGGAAACAAGAGCTATCACATCCCGCTCCGTCTCTTGGATCCTGGCCTAATCTGCTCCGAAAACTTTCTCTACCCTCATCGTCATATTGCAGACGATTACAGTGTGAGCGATTTTGGTGAACTGGTGGTCATCATCGAGAGAACCTTGGATGCGGCATTTACGCAGCCTTTCAAGTGCGAGCAATCTATGTGGCAGTCTTTGGACCTCGACCAAACCACTCTCTGGGTAGCTTCTTCAATTACATACCGAAACTATCAAACATCAGAACATCCTAAAACATGGAAATAGCTCACCGCCGCCGCCATATTAGAGCTTCCTCAGCAGTGCTTTGATGAAGCCCTCCTCCTTTGCCCTCTTCTTTGGAAACACCCTACCGTCCTCGGTATACCGCCTGAACGCATGGTAATTCTTGAAGCGAATGACCTCGACACCAATGTTCCGATGATCAATCAAATTGACCAGGTTGACCCAGACATTCCGGGCACCAAGAGCCTACAACAACCTACTTCAATAACCTGAAATCTCCAAGTTTGGCGCGTGTACTTACGTTTTTGCATTGTCTGATGCTGTTCGGTGGGTTGAGGATATGCACTTCGCGACACAGGTTCTGCCATGACTCCAACTTTGTCACATCACCTCCATACGCGTGGTCAAATTCTTCCTCTTGACACTGCGCCCAGCGCTTTGCTTTGAGTTTTGCCCCCCACTTGCGATCTGCGGCCAGGCGGTTGAAGTTGCTCTGCAAGCCGGCCTTGCTGTCGTACACAAAAGGGGGAAACTGGAGAAACCAAGTTCCAGCTTTGGATGTTGGTGTGGTATCCTGGGCGTCCTTGGGTGGAGGCTTTGCCTCATTCGCGGCAAGAGTCGCTTGGAGTGCTTGGTTAGATTTCTAGAATATCTAGTATAGAATGAGTAGAAGTAAAAAGAGGTACTTACGAGCGGGGTTAGCACGACGACGGGCCATATCGCGGTGGCGTGATACCAGCACAGCCTTCGTTCCTGAGCGTGTGCTTATGTGGAGACCGTAGCACTACCAACAAGTGCGGGAAGAAACCACCAAAAAAAGGGCAAAGAAAGATTACCATATAACAACAACACCAGCCCTACTGATATGCAAAGTTGGAGTGGGGGTTGCTTCACAGCAGTAACCCGAGATAACAAACATGGCCAGCCTGCCACCGACGGCACGGAAACGAGTTGACAACCCCTGACACCGCGTCGGCATCAGCAACCACCACAACCACAACAAACCAGAGTAGGCAAACAAAACCTGCCTTGCTGCGCGCTGATCTGCATCCCAGAACGGGCGGCCCGGAAGCAGCGGGGCATCTTTCAGCCTGCATACCCTACCTACCTACTTACCTGGCCAGCGCCGCTGAGAACCCATGAAGCGGTCGGCGGCACGGGCGCCCGCATACGCGCACAACGGGGCAGCTGGACGCAGGCTACGGAGGTGCCTCACAAAAGTTTTGTCCTGCCAAGAATAATTTAGCCGAAATCTGGCCGCTCTCCTACACAACGCCTATCTCTCCCCTCTATATACTCATTACCACCTTGTAGCTCAATTATCTTTGGAATATGTATAAGAATACGCTCAATCCAAGCTTGGATCTTAGCTTGTGGGAGATCTCTCCAGCAATTTAGCCAGATTCTAGTTGCCTCCGTTCTTGACTGTGGAGCTCCTTTCTTTGTAGTCTCTCTCTTCATGTAGAACCAGCATGGCTCAATACAGTTACAGTCTGGAGAGTTGCCAGGCCAAAGTAGTCTCTCGACGTTGGATAGACTATAGACAACGTTCTGATACTGGTGGGCGTGCCCAGGTGCCTTATCCTCCATAACTACGGTCTGAGGCCTATCTTGGAGGCACTCTTTGGCGAAAGGAATCAGCTTTGGGATCAGAACGCAGCTCTGATATCTCCACCAGTCTATACCGCCTTTGGACGAACGCACTAGCTTGCCTGTCTGCTCTGTCCATCTCCATTGAGGCTTCCTGCCAGGCTTATTACGTA